TATTGCTGGATCTTCAGCGCTCAGAGCGGCACTGATCAGAGCTGTGATGGGTGAAGGCGCCAACGCCTTGTCTTTTGAGCATGCGACGCTGTTCTTGGACCTCACTAAGTTCTACGACTCGGTGTCTTTCGTGTTGCTGATGCAGGCTGGCTAGAACATCGGATTTCCAGCAATCATCCTCTTATTGGAAGTGGGTCTTTACTCTTCTCCCAGGCTTTTGAAGAAGGGCCAGATGATATCGGGCGCCTTGGTGGTTTCACGTTCGATCGTCGCCGGTTCTGGACATGGCGTTCCGCTCGCCAAAGTTATGCTTCATCAGTTGCTGGATGAGGTTCACCGTGCTTGTCCCCCGACTGGATTGTGGAGTTATATTGATGATATTGTCGGTCGGGCGGAGGGCAAAAAGCAGAAGGTGATTGATAATTTGGACGCTTCTGCTGACGCTATGGCCACTGGGCTCAAGAAGCTCAGGTTGAAGATTTCTGACAAAACGAAGCTTGTCGCCAGTTCTGATGAGATTGGTGTGGAGTTACAGCGTCGACTGGTTCGCAAAGGTATCCCTGTGCAGTTTGTGCGCTCCACTGTCGACCTGGGCTCTGATGCTGCTGCAGGGCGACGGCGGACAGCGCCTCGGATGATGAAACGACGTGCGCAGGCTCGACGGCGGCAGCGAAAGGTTATGCGATTGAGGCAGCTTCCCAAGACCAGGTTCATCACCAAGCAGCTCTACACCACTGGAGTGTTACCTGCTGCAGTCTTTGGCCATCAGATAATGGGCACCCCATCCATCTTCTCTGTTGGCTTTGAGGCGGGATGCTGCAGCGAGTGTTGCTGGGGCGAAGCGTGGCAGGTGTTTGAATTCGGTATTACAAGCTGTGTTTGGGGTTTCTGATCCTGGCATAGGTTTGAGGAAGCAGATGATTAAGGAGTGGATTGCTTTGTGGCTTTCCCAGCCGATGCTCCATCCTCGCATTCGCAAGATGTGGCCGATCACACTGGCGAAGTTGCGTCGTGGCGCTGCTGAGCGACAGGTGGTGAAGTGGAAGGATGTGCGCGGCCCCATCGCCGCGGTGCAGGCCACGCTCTTGCAGATTGGCTGGGATCCGCAAAGTCCTGATGTCTGGTCGCGTCCTTTGCCAGATGGTACGATCGATGATTGGCTGTTTCCTGCTTTAGGTGATGAGCAGTTCGCTACAGCTGTTCCTTCGCATTTTGAGGATATGCTCGGCGCTTTCATGGATGATTGTGTTCAGCTGCAGTGGAAGGAAGCGGCCCACCATGAGGCGGGCGAGGATCTGGCAGCAGGAGCGGACATGACGACGGTGCAGATTGAGCTGAACCGCTTGGCTGCCAAGTCCAAGTTCGACGAGTGGGCCGCCAACGTTGCCGTCATCTCGGGGGGCCAGTGGACTCGTGAGCGGCAGACTGCCGCAGGATATTCCTGCCCGCCGTTTTGCCCCCGATGTAAGGGGCAGCCTGAGACTTTAGCTCACCGCATTTGGCTATGCCCAGCCAATTGCGGACACGAAGATTTCCCAAAAACGGTTTGTTTGACCCCCCAGGCCCTCGCGGGCTTTGAGGCCCAGCCGGCCTTGTGGCTCAGGGGAGTGCCCTCGAAGGACCTCACGGTGCCTAGGTTTGTTGAGATTGCGGAAACGGCCCAGGAGGTCCTTCTGGGGGATGGCTGTATTGCCGATTTCTGCTCGGAGCCTGGAGGCCCTCCTGTGTTTATCTTCGGTGACGGATCTGGGGGCGAGTTCAGCTCTGATCCCAGACGTAGGCGATGTGGCTCGGCTGTGGTGATGATGTGCCAGGACCCCTCGTCGCCTAATTCTTGGGTGCCTCAGTGCGGTGTAGGACAGGTTTTGTCAGGCCGTCGGCAAACGGTCCCTAGAGCAGAGCTCCAGGCCTTCTGTCTCGCGCTTGAGCACTCGCAAGGTCCGTTATGCTATATTACCGACTGCAAGAGTTTGCTTTCTGATTGGCACGGTGGCCGTGCCTCCTCCCCTCGGGGCCCGAACGGGGACTTGTGGGTTCGTGCTTCTCGGGCTCTCCGCCCCCGTGGCCCTGGGGAGGTTTCGCTTTTTCTGGACGCCCTCCCACGCGGAGGAAAATCTGCAGTCGGTAACTTCCCCGTTTGATATTTTTATGTACCAGGGCAACGCCAGCGCCGACGCCTCTGCGGGGGTGGTGGCCCAGTGATCCTGGGATTGGTGCGTGGTGGCCCCATCCCCCTCGGACTGACCTGTGGGATGCGACGGCGGCACTGGTGCGTAGAAGGGCCAGAAGGGCGATGATGCTGGCGCTCGAGGTTGAACCTTGGGAAGGGGTCAGAGCTCCGCCAGCGCCCAAGGTCCGCAAGCCCACTAAATTCGACCAGGCGATCCGCGATAGTGCGCACAAGTTTCGCCCGTTCGCTGGTCGCTGGCGTTGCGATGTGTGCAAGGTGATTGTCCCGAGGAGCCAGGTGCTCGCTGTCGCCTCGACCCCGTGCCGCGTTCCGATCCCGTCGCTGCCGTCGGATTCGGCTGGAACGCTCGGTTTGAGCCCTGAGTTTGGAGAGGGTTTCGAGGCGATCTCGGGAGAGGTGTGGGTTGGCGCTGTGAAGCTTCACCACAGCCACCGCCTCGCCAGGATGCGTGCGTTCGGGCTGACCTTCTGTCAGCGATGTGGTTTCACAGCCACGACAGACGGTCGGTGGCTTCAGAGAGTGTGTGCCCCCCCCACTCGAAAGGGGGGCGAAAACCTCAAGCGAATTAAGAAGGATGTTTTTTTCCGTCTTATCGGGGCCCACCCGTGGCCTTGCGTGAGGCGGCGGCGCTGGATGCTGCTGCGCGAGCCCTCCCGCCACCCCCTCGGGAAGCAACTGGGGGCGCGGGTGGTGCCGTGAGGCCAATGGAGGAGAGGCCCATTTTTGATGAGTATGTGGCCCGCTCGTCCGATCGCCCTGTCGGAGAGCTGGCCGACGTGATGACGGTCTGCGAGGACGCCCCACCCGTGGGCGAGGACGCGGCTGCTGCTTTTGCTGCCGCTGCCGCTCGCTTGCTTGAGGAGAATGAGCTTGAGGAAGTCGCTGCCCAGCTCAGAGCCCAGGGTTAGGGGCAGACAGTGCTCGCTGGTGCTCGTGTGCAGGGGTTGGGCAGCGGTGGTGATGATAGCGGTGACAGCGATTGAACTGGCCACGTGTGTGGCATCGCAGCATGATCCAGCATGATCTTCCTCCTCCTCCTCCTCCTCCTCCTCCTCCTCCTACTCCTCGTCTCCTCTTCCTACCTTTCCTCCTCCTCCTCCTCCTCCTCCTCCTCCTCCTCCATGGCCCCTTTTCTTCTCTCGATGCGCCCCCTGGCCCCCCTCCGAGGGGGCCCGGGGGCGTTCTGAGCAGCAGTGGCGCCGCGAGCCCCGGGCTCGTGCGCGGACTAGGGCCTCGTCCGCGCGCGTGCCCCAGGCCGGGGTTCGCGAGCCCCCCCTCCTGCGCGCCCCTTTTCTTGGGCGCCCCCGGTGTCGCGCCTTCCTGCTTCGCGCTCCTGCCATCTGGGCGCGCCCCCCGCTTGGATGCCCCCCCTATTGGGCGCCCTTAGCTTGGGCGCCCCCCTCTCGGGCGCCGCCCTCTTGGACGCCCCGTTGGGCGCCCCCTCTTGGGCGCCCCCAGCGCGCCCCCCGGCGTCGTGCCCCTGCCCGCTCCCCGTGGCGGAGGCGGGCGGCGGAGGTGGAGGCGGAGGCAACGTCCTCCTCCTCCTCCTCTTCCTCCTCCTCCTCCTCCATCTCTTCTCCTCCTCCTCCTCCTTCTCCTCTCCTCCTCCTCCTCCTCCTCCTCCTCCCCTTCTCCTCCTCCTCCTCCTCCTCCTCCTCTCCTCCTCCTCCTCCTCCTCCTCCTCGTCCCATCCCCCCCCATCCTCCCCCGTCCTCATTCTCCTCCCCATCATCATCATTTTCCCGTTTCCCTCCGCGTCCTCCCCCCCCCTCATCCATTTCTTTCTCTGTTGAATAACTCTCACCTGTCACGCCCCGAGGCCAGTCGGATGAGCGGACCAGGCTTTTCCGATGAGCCTCAAGCTTGAAAGCTGCCGGTCGTTTCCAAAATGGGGTTTTCTTTTTCGTGCCGCGCGCGTTGGTTTTCACGCATTTGTAGCATTTCGTTTCCGCCTCAAGGGCCATTGCGGCTAAGTCGCGCCGTAGCACCGCGCACATTTGTTCCAAAATCTGGCAAACGTTTCATGGATCGAATGCGGTTCCTTGTGCCGGGGGCGAACCCGACATTATGTGGTCGCCTTTTCGGCTCAAGAAAAAAAACCTTTGCCTTCTCCCCAGCTGCAACGGGGGAGGGGGGCCCGAACATCGTGGCGGACCTGGTAAGTTCGCAGGCAGCTTCGCATCTCGTTCGCTTGCCGCGGCGCGCACGGCAACAGCAACCAGGCGGTGGGCTGCCACGCGCCCAGCCTTGACATCGGCCAGGCGGCGGGCCTCCTCCGCGCCTCGGGCAGGAGACAAAGGGTCAGGCGGCGGGCCTCCCCGCGCCTCGGCCAGGACGTCGCCCAAGGCGGGCAAGAAGGCCACCGTGTGGTTGATCCAGCGGCGGCGTGGGGAGCTTCCATCGGGGCAGATGCTGCTGTGGAGAGCGCGGGTGGCCATCCAGGGCCGCCGTTGGGGAAAAAATCGCGACGTCGGGGGTGGCGGGGGGAAGATCGGGAAAGCGGCGGATGTGATTCAGTATTGGCTAACCGACCCCAACCCCAATTGAGCTTCCTACCTTGCCCCCTGGAACCCGAGGGAGACGGCATACATCCCACCGTGTGGGGGGGTAAATCGCTACGCAAATGGGTATAGGGGTCGGGTAAACCATATCAAGATGTGAGATCAGCTGCGCGCAGTTGATCTTGGCGGCCCGACGGGCGGCTGAGAAAGTTTCTCGGTCACCTTGCTCTGTCTGGTTTCCCTGATCGGCCCCACCAGGGCTATGAGAGAATGAGGAGACGCTGGACGAGAACGAGGGCTTCACTCTCATGGCGTTCGACCTTGCGCCGGGAGCTCCCGACGGCGTCATGTCGGAGGACCTGCGCGAGAAGCAAGACGAGGACCAGGACGAGGAGCAGGACCTGGCGGACGAGCAGGACGAGGAATTCGCCGCGGAGAGCACGCGGGAGGAGGACGACGAGAGCATGGACGATAACGGGGACTCCACCGATTTCGTCTGCACCCCCATGCCCCCGTGCGTTGAGAACGGGGCCTCGAGAGTAGACCAGAGGGTGCCCAAGAGGACCCCAGGAGAGCCCCCCAAAGGCCACCCGACTGGCACCCAAAAGGGGCTCGTGAGTGCCACTGTCGGGGTGCCATCTTCGGGTCCTCTTGGATTGTTGTTGGGCCCCTCCCGGGCTGCTCTTGGGCTTCGTTTGGACACGGATGGGGTCTTTGAGAGGGCTCCAAGACGCCTCGAAAATGGTTCCAAGAGGGCCAACTAGCTGCTCTTGGGCTCCTCTTGGGCTCCTCAGAAGATTCCGAAAAAGGCTCCCGAGAGAAGTCCAAGCGCGCCTCAAGAGCGCCTTCTGACAGTGGCGCCCAAGGGCCCTCCTGGGTGCCACTGCTGGGGTGCTCGCTGGGAGCTTTCTTGGAGCCCTCCCGAGCCTTTTCGGGGCTTCTCTTGGAGCTCCTCTTCAGCCTCTCCTGGGCCCCTCTCGAGCTTGCTCTCGGCGCCTCGTGGCGCCTTCGCGTGTCCCAACCCCCTGATCCAGAGAAACATTTGAGAGACATGAGAACCTTAGAGGAGTGCAGTGTTGCAGGATGCAGCGTAACGTAGAGGGATCCACAAATGGCTCCACAGGGATGCTCAAGATGAGGCCACGGGAGTTTCAACTCGGGCTCCATCATCGAACATCCCAGACAAATCCCAGACTGGCCTGTTTCACTGTCTGGGATTTGTCTGGGATTTCGACGCCGACGACGGAGCGCCTCAAGCACCACCCCAAAGCACACCCAACAAGCACATTCTAAGAAGGCCTTGGGGAATCTGATTCATCAGGCCTCCAACCAGGCTCCGCAAGAGGCGACGACGACGACGAAACGTTCCAAACAGCACACCACAAGTCCTTGCTCCCAGAAAGCCTTCTAGGAACATGATTCATCCGGCCTCCAACATGGCTCCAATAGAGTGTCCAGACAGGAGCCCCACCAGGACAACCAGAACCCCTGAGCTCCCAGACACCCCCCAAAGTTCCCAGCAACCCTCAAGACGTTTCCGAAACACTCCCTACAAAACCGAAGAGGCCCCCGAGGCTTCCAGGACTCACCAAGTCTTCGAAGAGACACCTGGGATCCTGACAAACTCCCAGGTGCGCAATGACGCGCATGTCTTGCATGTCTAATGGTTGGGCTCGTATGCCCTAGAAGCTGCTGATGGCAAAGGTAATATGAGGCGGGGAACCTACTTCTGGTTCCAACCGCGTGTGTCTCATTGCGTCAGTGGAACTGCGAAATCGGTAAGGCCTGGAGCCTGCTAGAACCTCAGCGCGCGCGAAGCGCGCGATCGAAGCAATACGACCCAAGTTCCTGATCACCAATTTTCTGCATCCGGGCTCTTCGTTCACCACTGCCCGCATTGCGGCGCACTTCATTTCACAGCTGAACGCGTTCGCACATCTTCTGGCGCGAAAGCTTTCTCGCTCTGCTGCCGTCATGGTGCTCCGGCGGACCTGCCTCTCCTGGAACCCGCACCACCTGTGCTAGCCGCACTCCTTGGCCCCGTCGTTGGTCACCCTGACGCTGCCGATTTCCAAGCAAACATCCGCTCGGCATCGTTCTCTGACATCGTTCTCTGACATGCGAGGCGTTCTCTGACATCATTCTCTGACATCCGCCGATGGAGCCATGGCGTTGGCATCGTTCTCTGACGTGCGAGGACCCGCTTCGGGAGCACCCCGACCGGGAGCAGGCAGCAGAGGCCCTCCAGGGTTAAACCTTCCCTGGGCGTGCTTACCACATCGCTGGCAACCTTTAGCAAGACAGCGGACGTCCAAGGTGTGTGCACAGCTGTTTGCATTCGACGCCAACGAAAGCACCGACCTCCGAGCAGCCGCTTGCCCGCAACTCAATCCGCAGATTCTGACACGACTGCTTCACATGCTCACGGAACAGGTGAACATACCGTGCACAGGCAAGATCCTACACTGGACGCCTCCGACACATGCACGGCGACGCAACCCAGAAACCCATACCCCCAGCATTTGCGTAGCATGCACGAACAATTCCAAGCCCATGAGTCCACAACTGCGGAACATGGTCATGCATCACAGCATGCTCCCAGGTTCGCCGGGGGCGTGGACAAGGACCCTCGCACATACAATCGTCCATCTTCTGCTGAGGCCTCCTGCGTCAATGTGGGGGAGGGCCCCCTTCCTGATCACTTCATTACAATATATGATCGACTTTCCTCAGCTGACGCCCCCTCCACACATACTTAAGCTGTCATGCTTGAGTGAACATGTGGATCCCTTGACATACCCATTGATTCACGTTGACGGTGTTCTCGGGTACTCATGCGCCTTTCTTGGGCGGCCCGATTCGACCACACTGCATCAACGTAAAAATTCAATGGCGGATTTCTATGCCCACCGATTGATGCAGCGGCATCCGCACGATGCCAATGTGGTCGAACTGCCACACGGAGCCGGTCGTCTGTTCCAGCTGTACTTAGTAGATGTTTGGGCCAACATGGAGTCAATGCGTTTCGATTGGATACGACGTCACCAAGATCAGCTTCGCATCGACATTCTGCGCGGTCTGATGGACTACCTCACACACAAACGACAGGCACATAGGCGTTCCAGACAAGGTCACCAGAGTTGGCACTGACACACGCGCCCTCCTTCACCTGATCCGCATAGTGAGAGCCAACATCAGCCACCAGTTACCGACACCACCATCCCGCCTCCTGCGCCTGGCACGCCTGTCATCTTGCCCGCAACGTCTGGTGGAAGTCCCCGCGCGCTTCACCAATTATATCTTGACGCGATGGCGCTGGTGGCGAAGTTTGGCCGCCCAGACCTGTTCATAACTTGCACTGCCAATCCTCGATGGCCAGATATTCAACGCAATCTCCGTCCGGGCGAGGCTGCGCATAAACGCTCTGATTTACTGGCCCGCGTCTTCCGAGCTAAGTTGAGGGTCCTCGTAAAGCTGCTGACCAAAGAACTCGTCCTCGGCAAAGTCAAAGCCTTCACTTACGTTGTCGAATTCCCAAAGAGAGGACCCCCGCATGCACACATGTTGCTCATACTGGAAGAGGCCGACAAGCCCCGCTCACCGAGCCACATCGACCGCCTCGTCTCGGCCGAAATGTCTGGTCCAGTGTCGCAGCCAGAGTTGCACGCACTGGTGGATCAGCATATGATCCATGGCCCGTGCGGGCTCAGCAATCCGTCATGCCCTTGCATGGTCGATGGAGTTTGCTCCAAACACTTCCCGAAAGCTTGGAACAATGATGTCTTCGGCAGTGTGAACGGGTATCCGCAATACCGTCGTAGACAGCCTGATCCTCTCCGAACTGCAAAAAAAGGCCGCTCGATTCACGACACGTTGTCCCTTACAGTACCTACCTCCTGACCTCCTGGAGGTCATGCAATGCCACATAAACGCGGAGGTATGCACATCAATGAAGGCCGTGACATATTTTTTCAAATGCACATACAAGGGCCCAGGGGCTGGACCGCGCATGCTTACATAAGGTCCACGATGAAGTGTCCGATTATCTGGACTCACGGTACGTAGGGTTGCCCGAAGCAGCATGGTGATTAATGGATTTTGAATTGCATGGGCAGTCCCTCGCGGTCGAGCGCCTCCCTGTGCCCTTACCATTGCACTAATCAGTCCAATTCACTCCTGGTATCTGTGAACCACGCCATCGTGACACCAACGAAACTTGAAGCCTGGTTATCGTCGAACGCATCGGCACCTTGACTGGAACCCGACGTCGCCGATCTCATCCGCAACCTGCTATACCCTGAAGTCCCAAGCAATTTCATGTGGGATTCCAAGCATCATCGCTTGCTGCCGCGCAAGCAGCGGCCACGCAACTTCACGATCATTGGCCGGATCTCCCATGTGAAGCCTGGGTCTGGTGAGTTGTAGTACCTGCGCCTTTGCTCCTGTGCGTCACCGGAAAGGACGCAGTTAGCTGGGGCAGATTGCGATCACCTACTCATTCAGGCGCCAAGCCCACATTTCAGAACTGAGGGTGTGAACTCGGGTTGCTGCGCGACGACATTGAGACCCTAAACATGTTGCGCGGGGCTGCGACGGTGCTCCGGAACACGAAACGCCTGGCAGAGATCCTTGGAGTGTTGCTTGCGTGGCTCGACGTGCATGATCCGCCCTCTCTCTGGAGCTCTTGGACGCTCTTGGAGCCATTGCAGTACACCCGAAAGCCATCACCGGCTTGTGCGAGCGCTCGTGCGGCGAAACGGAGGCGGGCTGCCCCTTTTCGGGTCTCGAAGTCTGGGCCAAGTTGGGGGGTCCTTTTGTTCGTGGGAGAGAACCTCGCGCATCTGGAAACCTCGAAGGGTTCGGCGGAGTTCTGCCCGTGGCACTGCTTTCTGATCGGACTCCGCGTCGGAGACTATGACGATCCCTTGATATCTCAGGCGCGACGGCACGGGCCCGCGCCCGCTCCGCGCGGGGCGCTTGAGCCGCGCGTTTTCGCAAGAAGATGCCGGAAGGTTGCTCATGATTGGTGCCTTATGTAGCGCTGCACCACCGGCCGTATCGGAACAATACTTTTCATCGTGCTTTCCAGCGTTGCACGCAGTTCCGTGCGCCAGCAACGTAGATGCCGACGCGAACCACGACTTCATCGTAGCCCCCCCGCCTGATCGGAGGTTGGGGGGTGAGATCGCAGTGAAACGGAGACCCCCCAGCGGGAAATCGGTTTCGGTTTCGTGTTCGTGTCGCGCGTGCGGGCGAGGCGAAGCTGCGCGTGATCCTCCTGTAGCTAGGCCGAAGTAGGAGCGAAAGTCCGTTCCCGTCCGCAGGTGGCCGGGAGGTGTCCCAGTTGGGCCGGGCAGTGTCCCGGGTGTCAGTAGGAGCGAAAGTCCGTTTCCCGTCCGCCGGTGGCCGGGAGGTGTCCCAGTTGGGCCGGGCGGTGTCCCGGGTGTCCCGGGCGTCCAGGCGCTAACGCATGTCGCTAATTTCATAATTCATTTTTTCGGCGCTTGCGGCGGGCTTTCTTACCCAATCCAGCTTCTCCGATAGGTCGGTCGATGGATAGGTGGGTTCTCATCGTCATCGCGATCATCATTTTGGTGGAGGGAGACACTGACAGAGGGCGAGAGAGAGAGAGGGCGAGAGAGAGAGAGATAGCGAGACAGAGAGAGAGAGAGAGAGACAGAGAGAAAGAGAGAGATGAGATCAAGGTGACAGGCTGGAGGTCAGTCAGGGTGGGCATTTGATCTCAATCCCCCCCCAACCTCCTTATCCCCTGCAGGGCGGTCGTATAGGTAGATATCCCATGTCTCCTTTATTCGATGCGCGTCAGCTTGTCGACGGCGCCGCCGCCAGTCTGAACGAGAGGTGCTGTCTGGTTTCACCCGTGCTGTACATTATTGCATTTTGTTTGATTTAATTAGGGAGCCATGGTGGAGTTGACAAACAGTGCCCCCTGGCCGCATGGCACTGACAGCAAGAACACGCGCGGTTCTTTTTTTGTTGCCGCCAACATTCAATCATTGGGCGTTGCGTCAGGCGCCCCAATGAAGGCTGTCAGGGATGACGGCGTTGATTCGTTCATTTCCCCAGCTCGGCGCTTATTCCGCGGCGCACACCAGGTCGAAAACTCGGGGTCCGAACTCGCTTCGGGGTGACACGGGGAGCGGACATGTGTTACATTTTCGTTGAGTGATGCCGCCCTTGCAGCGTGATGCAACACACACTTCCAGCAAACCGCACTACTTGACATTGGGCCCAAAACGTCTCCACGCAAGCTGAGGGAACCCCAACCTGAGCTACGAACCTGGATGCCGCCACACGCCGGGGCATGCGGTGGCAGCCCCGTGACACTACTATTGCTTGCTTAGGGGGGGCACAGGAGGCCGAAATTCGTTGCATTTTCGTTGCGTGATGCCGCCTTTGCAGCGTGATGCAACACAGGCAGCAAGAAGCCCAGACCTAGCCGCAACAACATGTATTGTTTTCTGGACTTATCCCTCGGTCGGCCGATGGGGGGACGATTCGTTAACACCCCTGGGGCTAAGCCCAGACTTAGCCGCAACAAATTGTAGCTCTTTGTCTGGTCTCTTCTGGGAGGCCTCAAGGCCGAGTCCAGGGCAGCCCTACTCCCAAGGGCCCTGGAGGTGCACCTTCGTTAAACTCATGTCTATGACAATGGCCGGTAATGAGGCTCAGGATGCAAGCGGGGTGAGGCAGGTAGCAGAAGCATTCTAAGAGGACGCGTAAGAAGGAAGGGAGATGGATCTTGGGAGTGGGAGGAGGCAGAAGAGAGGCGAACCACATGAGAGAGACGTGGGAAAGAACGGGCAAGGGAATGGTCAGACGGGGAGGGAAGGGACGGGGGTGCCTAAGAGGAGGAGAAGGATGATGCTGAGGAGGAGGAGGAGGAGGAGGAGGAGGAGAAGGAAGACGAGGTGAACTGAGACGTACACTATTCATCGCGGCACGGATTGTCCAGGAACCCATCCAGGCTTTTAACGCCTGTGAAGCGCGTGCGAAGAGGGGAAACTATTCGAAAGTGGAACGGACATCGATACATGAAACAGCCGAGGCCTGGTGACAAGGGGCTTGGTGACAGCTGGCGCGAGGAATGGGCCCACCTTGAATGAGTTGGCTCGAAAGATGTGTTGTTGGTATGTGGTAAGTATCAAGCAATTGGTTTGCACTCGAATCGCCCCTGGTTTCTTCAGCGGCGCACAGGCAATTTGCGATGCGCGTTCCTTGTGCGCGGATAGAACCTAAGCGCGCGCGCGAAGCGCGCGCGTGGTTCTAGTATAGTATAGTATAGTATAGTATAGTATAGTATATATATATATATATATATATATATATCCTGGGGGACGAGGTCCCCCGGCCGAGCCCAAGGACCTCGGGGGCGCATGGGGGTGCAGGGTCCCGGGGGACGAGGTCCCCCGGCCGAGCCCAAGGACCTCGGGGGCGCATGGGGGTGCAGGGCCCCCAGGGCCGCTCGGAAAGGTTCCCGTTCGGTTCCAGAGACCGCCAGGGCGGGCTCCAGCCCAGCCAAGACAGCCCGCGAGCGCTCCAACACGCGCCAGCATGGCTTCCAGACGAGCCCAGCGGCCACCAACACGCCCCAAGCGGCCTCCAAGACGCCTCCCAAGAGAGCCCCAAGAGGCAAAAAACGTTGTTTTTTCATTGTTTTTTCCTATGTGTTTTGTCTTCTCGCTTTTCCTGCTTTCCGACGCTCCAAGACGGCCCAAGAGGCCCCCAAGAGAGCCCCAGGACGGCCCAAGAGGCCCCTAAGCCGGCCCCAAGACGGCCCAAGAAGCCCCCAAAGGCGTCCCGAGACGGCCCAAAAGGCCCCCAGGACGGCCCAGGAGCCGCCCAAGACAGCCCCAGGAGGGCTCCGCCATGGCCTGAAGACTGCCTAAGCGAGCCCAGCGGACCTCCAACACGCGCCAGCATGGCCTCCAAACGAGGCCAGAAGCCACCAACACGCCCCAAGCGGCCTCCAAGAGGCCTCCCAAGGAGCCCCAAGAGGCCGCAAACGTTGATTTTGCATTGTTTTTTTTCGATGTGTTTTGCCTTCTCGGTTTTTCTGTTTTCCGACGCTGCCAGACGGCCCAAGAGGCACCCAAGACAGCCCCAGGACGGCCCCAGAGGCCCCTGAGCCGGCCCCAAGACAGTCCAAGAGGCCCCCAAAGGCGTCCCAAGATGGCCCAAGTGAGCCCCAAGACAACCCCGGAGCCGCTCAAGACAGCCCCAGGAGGGCCCCGACATGGCCTGACGACTGCCTAAAAGGCCAGCGAGCCTCCAACACGCGCCAGCATGGCCTCCAGACGAGCCCACAGGCAACCAACACGCCCCAAGCGGCTTCCAAGAGGCCTCCCAAGAGAACCCCAAGAGGCCACAAACGCTGATTTGTCATTGGTTCTTTCGATGTTTTTCGCGTTCTTGCTTTTTTTGCTTTCCGACGCTCCAAGACGGCCCAAGAGGCCCCCAAGAGAGCCCCAGGACGGCCCAAGAGACACTTAAGCCGGGGCCAAGACGGCCCAAGACGCCCCCGAAGGCGTCCCAAGACGGCCCAAGAGCGCCCCAGGACGGCGCAGGAGTCGCCCAAGACGGCCCCAGGAGAGCCCCGACATGGCCTCAAGATTGCCCAAGCGAGCCCAGCGGACCCCAAGAGGGCCCCACGAGGCCGCAAGAAGCCCCCCGAGGCCACCCAAGCGCCCCCCAAAAGGCTCCCCGGAGGCTCCCAAGAGGCCCAACAACTCCTCCCAAGACGCCCCAGAGACTTCCAGTACGCCTCCAAAAACTGACCCTGAGAGGGTCATGCGAGGCCCCAAGACAGCCCAATGATGGCCACGCGAGAGCCACACCATACATTACGATGGTGAGGAGGCGTAAGTAATGGTGGCGAGGGATGCTGATGACAAGGATGGAAGGGGAGCGAAGGATGAGGAGGACTGGGGAGTGACTAGAGGTGAGGAAGGACGAGAACGAGGTGTATGAAGAGAAGGAGTGGCAGATTGAAGAGAGCGGGGAGGACATGGAGGAGGCTGATGATGATGATGAGGAGGAGGAGGACGAGGAGGAGAGGAGGACGGGGAGCAGTGACGTAACCAGCCCTTCACATTTACGCTCCCAAGAGCGAAGGGTGCCATGAGCCGTCTCGGGCAAGTTCCTTCAGCGCTCTTTCCGTTTCCGTGCACAACCATTGGCCCATCCATGGAGCCATGACGGGGCCCAGGTCAGCGCCGAGGCTGTTCCCGGAGCTTCCAACAAGGTCTCCGAGTTGCACTTCCGCGTCCTGCTCCACCGACCCTGTACCCCATATCGGCTGAAGACATGATGCTGCTGCCTCCGCAGTCACCAGTCAGTATTATGCTGCTTACTTTTACGGCATTGCAGGCTGCCATCCATATCGCGGGTCGAGCCGCCGCCCCCTGCACCTCCGCATTCGTGGTCATGGCTTCAGCTGTTACTGAGAGGCCGCGCCACACGTGTCATAACTATCAATTTTGCAGTGGACTTCAAGCTCATATCCCAGTCGAAGGCACCAGCAAACGAGAACGTCAGAGATTTTGCAAGCGGTGCTTTTCGGCAGATGCACGGTGTGCCCACCCCCAGCGCGAGGCCCCTGTAGCTCCACCCTTCCGACGGCCAAAAACACATGTCACGCCTACTTTCTGCACAACGCACTATCCCGACCCATGCCACAATACCACGCGTGAGTGGGACTTGTGTAGGAACGCCCGCGTCGGCTGCCGCCTTCTGACAACCAACGAATCATCTGTCCCGTGCTTTCCGTGCTCTGAAGGCTCCCTGCCCTGTCGCTTCGCGGTGCTGGGGTGTCCTTCCCACGTCCGGCAAAAAGTCAAAAATGCATCAGGCCGGCTTCCACAATGCGTGACCCATCAATTCGGCAATTCGCCAATTTGCCTGCGCATCGCTTGGCTGCCAGGAGGAACGGAGCGATACAGCCCACAGTACTTGCGTCCCATGCCAAGCCGGACGTCGACTGTGCACAGTGTGCTTCTCGCGCCGAGGAGCGCCCGGAACTCCAGATCTGTGCGCTCACTGTGGCGGAGCCAGCCCAGCCGCCAGCCCTTCTCTAGCCGCTCCAGCGCAGTCTTCGACGGCGCTTGCATCTACGCCCTCGCGATGTAGCGCTCCGAAGTGCGGGGCGCCAGCGGTGCAAGAAAGCACATCTCGAACGGGCGCGCAATGCCCCATGTGCATCGTCGGGGTCTTTCCTTGCGCCACGGCCACCTGCAACTTCCGCGTCCCTCGACAACACGGACAGCATTGCCTCGTCTGCCAACCGCCCGCCCTGCTCCACTTCTGCCGCACGCCCCCGTGCACGAACGTAGTCGAGTCGCCAGAGGACACTTTGCGTTGTGTACTTCGTCCTGTTTCCCACGTTCGACGCGTAGGTGCGACGGCCGTTCCACCCCTGGTTCAGCAGGCCTGTGCCGAACGTGCGGGCTGTCCACACCACAACCACTACTATCCCTCTCCAAACGATCCTACGAGCAAGCCGAACGCCCTTGTAGTTCGTCTGGGTGCAACGGTGTAGCTCAACGGAACATCGTCCGACGCCCTCTGCATCGCGTGCATTCGGAAAAGGGGAGCCATGTAGCAATCGTGCCATTGGGTGCGCTTTTCTCGTGGGCCCTCTCGGCACCGTGGTGAAATGTAGGTACTGTTGCCTCGCGGGGCCCCCTTGCCAGGGGCCCGGAAAGGCCGGCTGCCGCGCCCCCGCCCGCCATGGCGTGCGACGCGCAGTGCCGCACAACAACGGCATGTGCGAACGTTGCTTTAAACCCACATGTTCCTTCCCACTGTGCGACAGAAAGTTGACGAAAGCAATGTACGCCACCGGATACTGCCCCGACCACGTCCGACATGCCGCGGTAGCCACCGCCGCCGCCGGGCCCCATCATCCTCCGACGTCGGGGTCTTCTGGTGTCCCACACGCCCGTCCACGTAGCGATCCGTTGCAAGCACTTTGCAAGCAGGTGGCGGCAGCCGTCCGCATGTACCTCCGAGCACGTGACTCGCCGAAATGTTCCGTGCCGTGGCGTCGCCTCAAGTCCACCCGCGCAGCACTTCCGAACTCGTCCAGCTGTCCGCCCGCCTGCGCAGCGCATCGGAACTGGTTCGCAGAACCCGTGCCTGGGGCCTGGGACTTCTCTTGGCGTACGCACCGGCCACCGCGCCGGCTGGTGGTCGACAGACGAATGGTGCAGCAAACGCGTTCCGAAAGCGTCGCTCTCTCCGACCGGCCACTTTCAAGGAGCCTGCGCAACGTGCGGGGCTCTGCACTTTTTCGCCGAACGCGCGCGCTGCCCGGCAGCACGCAGAAAGGACTTCGGCGCGTGCTGCAGGTACGGAGCCCTGGCTGGCATCCCCCTACTGCCTCCCGCTCCGGCCGAAATGGCTCAGCTCCTTCGTCCGGGTCCTTCCCACGACCACTTCATGCAGCACATTCGGTCGTACAACTGCGCCCTTGGATTCGCATCCTTCAACAGCGAGAGCACTGTCGCCGCACGGAAGACCCGCACGGAAGACCCCCTGTCGGGCACCCGGGCACCGGGGCACCCGGGCACCCGGGCACTGCAGGCACCCCGGCACCGGGGCATCCGGGCATCCCCCGGGCACCCGGGAAGGAGGAGGGAGGATGAGGAGGAGGAGAAGGAGGAGGAGGAGTGAACGTCGGGCAGGCGTCCAGCGCAATCCGAGCCGAGGGTAGAGCCAGAAGGAGTAGAAGGTAGAGGGGACCGGGAGGACCGTTTCGGCCGTTCGAAAAAGCACCTCATCCATGTCCTCCTCTTCCTCCTGGGGGATATCAGTCCCAGCTGGCGTGGAGCTGGAGGTCGATCCTCCACCGTCAGCACAACCACAGGGGCAGCAGCATGATCGAGTCGTCGACCCTTCGTCCGAGTCGTCGTGTACCGTCGAAGCTGCTGCCCCAACATCTCTCCCTCTTGGACCGCGCGATGCGGAAGAGGAAGCAGCCTGTTCATTGTTTGGCTTGCCTGGTGAGAGTCCCTCCCAGCAGGCCGTGCAGCAGGCATCTGAGCCAGCCTCGTCGGCTGGAGCGTTCGGCCGAGACCGAGCTGCCTCCGTCCTTGAAGAGGACGAGGCCTCGCTCGTCGCCGTCGCTGCACTACAGTCTGACGACTCAGACTAGGAGATGCAGCATGCGTCCTCCGCGTGTGGCGCGTCTCGCCCTGACCTCATTCTTCTCTGGTCGTGGGCTTAGGGGGGCAGGCGGTGAGCCACAGGGGATCCTCCCCTCCTGTGGGAAATCGCCCCGTGGCTTTCGCGCCTGCCCTCCTATCTTCGTTTCACTGCTCGCTGGCCTGCTACAGGCCAGATATCAGGGGGCGACGACCTCTGGGCGTCGATGTCGAACAAATCCTCCTGCTCGTTCTCTTCCCCCTCCCTTCCATAATCAGACTATTCCTCCGCCGGCTCGGCTCGGCCCGGCCCGGCCCGGCTCGGCCAGCGGAGGAGGAGGAGGGAGGAGGAGTGGGAGGATGAAGACAGGACAGGGGGGGAGTAGGACGACGAGGAGGAGGAGGAGGAGGAGGAGGAGGAGGAGGAGGAGGAGGAGAAAGAGCGAGGAGGCGGGGAGGGACATGGGCAAGGGGAGGCGGATGAGGACTAATTTCGATGAGGAGCAGGCGTTCGCAACCGGCGCAGCATCCAGGCAGAAGAGGAGGAGGAGGAGGAGCAGGAGGAGGAAGAGCAGGAGGAGGAGGAGGAGGAGGAGGATGAAGAGGAGGAAGCGCAGGAGGAGGCCCGGTTCGCCTGAGACATCCTCAAAGCTCTGGGTTCCGAGACGTCCTGACCTGAGTTGGTCAGACCACTTTCGCCTGAGACATCCTCGAAACTCTGACCTCGGAGGTGCCCTGCCCCACGGTGGTCCGAGACAGCCCAAGAGAGCTTCAAGATGGCCAAGATGCCCTCAAAAGTGCCCCCACGAGGAACTCAGGAGGCGAAGCAAGTAGGTTTCCTCAATGGTTTTTGAAGGTTGTTCGTGTTCTCGCTGTTTTGTGCTTCCAACGGTTCAAGACAGCCCATGAGGCCCCAGAAACCAGCTCAAGACGGCCCAAGAGGCACCCAAAGAGGGCGCCGCGACGGCGCAATAGAGAGAGCCCCCAAGATGGCCCAAAAAGTGCCCCAAGGCGGCCCTAGAGGCGCCCAAGATCGCCTCAAGAGGGCCCCAAGAAGGGGCTCAAGAGGGGGAACACGAACCGACAATTCGAGCCTTCCGCCCCAGTAGGCCTCCAGGAGGCCCCAAGAGGCCCCAAGAGAGCCCAAGAGGCCCCCTAGAGGCCTCCTAGAGGCTCCACGAGGCCCCACAGGAGCCCCCAAAGACGCCCCGCGAACATCCGTAGCCATTTTGGCTCAAGGTGGATCTGACTGCAGCGCGCAAGCGCTCATCATAGTTGCCCATCACCATGCGGACCCCGCGACCAGACCCCTGGGGCCCGAGGCTGCCCACTTTTCCCAAACTCCCCCCTCCCCCCGCGGTGCCCACCGTGTCCCTCGGGGTCCTTCGGGGGGCTTTCGGAGGGCCCGAAGGCGCTCCCCAGACGGTCCAGGAGGCTTCCGAGACGGTCCAAGAGTTCGTCAAGACGCCCATGATGGCTTCAAGACGGCCCGAGAGGCCCCCCAAGCGCTTGAAGAGGGCTTCAAGAGGACACTTATGAGGGCCGCAAGGAACACACATCGCTCTAATTCCTTTGGGAAGCGTCTATTTTGGGCATATGCGCTTTGTATGAATAGCGTCCACGACGGCCTCACAGAACCCCAAGAGCGCCGCAAGACATCCCAACAAGGCCTCCAAGACGGTCCAAGAAGCTCCCAGGATCGCCCCAAAACGTCCCACAGAGCCCTCCAAGACGACCTCCGTAGGCGCCTGTGGATCCCAGAGCGCGCTAAGACAGTCCAAGAGGCCCACAAGACACCTCACTCTGCACCCCTCCCCGCTCCTCCCAGATTCCTCCCCATCCCTCCCCGCTCCAGGCAAGTGTGCGCGAGGCGGTTGTATCTCTGGCCGCGAGATCCTGCCAGCGTATACCTACATGTACGACCACCCGTCGGGTGATAACGAGGTTGTGCGTGTGGTGGTGGGGGTGAGGAAGGGGAACCAACTGGAGCTACAACATAGCATTGCATCGCACAGCAGAGCATAGCATAGCACCGCATAGCATCGCACAACACAGCATAGACGAGCATCGCGTAGCATAGCATAGCATAGCATATCATCGCATAGCATGTCATAGCATCGCATCGCATCGCGTCGCATATACTAGCATATCATCGCATGGCACAGTATGGCGTAGCATAGCATAGCATAGCATCGCACAGCATAGTATCGCATCGCAGCACACCGCATAGCTTAGCCTCGCATTGATAACATAGCGTACTATGCGGGCCGAACCGCCGTACAATGGCCGAAAGTCCGTCCAAACGGCGCTCTCGCCTCGGCGCGGGCAGCACACCGCCAGCGTCACCTGCACGCCGTGGCCAGCTTAAGTTTAAGAGCGAATCGTGAGGATGTCTCAGCAGAAACCGGCTTTCTTGGTTCAGATGGGCGGGCTGGACGACATGGGCGAACCAAAGCGCGCGCGCAGCGCGCGCGTGGTTCTAGTATATATATATAATATATATATATATATATATATATATATGTATATACACACACACACACCCGCGCACGAGGCCCTGGCGCCAGGGGCACAAGGCCCAGGGGCCCGGGGCCTGAGGGGGCATGGGAGGACCAGGGTTTCCCAGACCGCTCCCAGAGCACCCCGGAGCGGCCCTGGAGCTCCCAGATTGCCGCAGAGAGCTCCCAGAAGCCCTCGGGGACTTCGACAAGCCCCTCCAAGACAACCCAGATAGCCCCAACGTGGCCCAAGATGGGTTAGAGACCGCAAATACACAGCCCAGGCCTCCAAGGGGCCTCAAGAGAGCTCCGAGAAGCATCCCGAGGGAGCCCGAAGAAGCCCTAAGCATTGATTTCCATTGGTTTTGGGTTCTCACGTTTTCGACCTTCCGACGCACCAGGACGGCCGACGATGCCCCCCAGACCGCCCCACGACCGCCGAAGAGGCCCCCAAAGAGCCCCAAGACGGCCCCAGGGAGTTTGACGAATGCCCGGGGCGGGTCCCGCGGCCCGGGGGAGCCCCGGGACGGGCCCAAGCTGGGCTACGATACAGACCTCGAGCGGGAGGCGCCAAGGCGCTCCAAGACGGCCCAGATGAGCCCAACACGGCAAATGCACAGCCCAAAAGGCTTCCAGAAGGCTTCAAGAGAGCTCCGAGAAGCATCCCGAGAGATCCCGAAGAGGCCCGAATCATTGATTTTCATTGGTTTTTACATGTTGTTCGGTTTCTCACGTTTTCGACCTTCCTACGCCCCAAGACGGCCGACGACGCCCCCAAGACCGCCTCATGACCGCCGAAGAGGTCCCCAAAAGAGCCCATTTTGGCTCAAGATGGCTCTGACTGCAGCGCGCAAGCTCTCATCATATTTGCCCATCACCATGCGGACCCCGCGACCAGGCTCCTGGGGCCCGAGGCGGCCCACTTTTCCAAAACTCCCCCCTCCCCCCGCGGTGCCCACTGTGTCCCTCGGAGTCCGGGACTCATTGCAGGCCTTCGGGGAGCTTTCGGAGGGCACGAAGGCGCTCCCCAGACGGTCCACGAGGCTTCCGAGACGGTCCAAGAGCGCGCCAAGACGCCCACGATGGCTTAAAGACGGCCCGAGAGGCCTCGAAGAGGACACGTATGAGGGCCACAAGAAACACACATCGCCCCAATTCCTCAGGGAAGCAGAGTCGATTTCTGTTGTTAATATCGTCAGCGACGGCCTCAGATAACCCCAAGATCGCCGCAAGACATCCCCAAAAGGCCTCCAAGACGGCCCAAGAAGACCCCAGGATCGCCCCAAAACGACCCACAGAGCCCTCCAAGACGGCCTCCGTAGGCGCCTGTGGATCTCATAGCGCTCTGAGGCAGTCCAAGAGGCCCACAAGACACCCCACTCCGCACCCCTCCCCGCTCCTCCCAGATCGTTCCCATTCCTCCCCATCCCTCCCCACTCCAGGCAAGTGTGCGCGAGGCGGTTGCGTCTCTGACTGCGAGATCCTGCCTTTGCATACCCACATGTACGACCACCCTTCGGGTGATAAGGAGGTTGTGTGTGTGTGTGTGTGTGTGGTGAAAGGGGGGAGGAAGGGGGATCAACTGGGGCTACAACATAACATTGCATCGCATAGCGGAGCATAACATTGTATCACATATCATCGCACATCACATCACAGCAGAGCATAGCGTAGCATAGCATAGCATAGCATCGCATCGCGTAATAGTAGACCATCGCACAGCACAGTATGGCGTAGCATCGCATAGCATCGCATAGCATAGTATCGCATCACATTACATCACATCACATCACATCACATAGTTAAGCATCGCATTGATACCATAGTTTAGCATTGTACAGCATCGCATAGCATAGCATAGCACAGCATCGCATAGCACCGGACACGACGGGACACCGCGGCTCACCGCGGGACACCCAGGCAACCGCCAGCCAACCTGGGTGGACACCACTGGACACCGCGGGACACCCCCGGGCCACAGTTGGCCAACCGGTGGGGTACAGCAAAATGTGGACTGGTTTTGCCGTAAGCGCAGCTGGTTCATTCCTCTCGCCCGCCGACGCAGCTTCGCCTCGCCCACACGCGCGACACGAACACGAAACCCAAAATGATTTCCTGGCGTTTTTTTTTCACTTCGATCTATTTCCCAACCTCTGATTCTATCACACCACGGGACAACCCCTGGCCACCGCTGGCCGGGTGGCGCAGCAAAATGTGGCCCGGTTTTGCCCTAAGCACGGCGGGTTAATTCATTTCTCCCGTCGACGCAGCTTCGCCTCGCCCACACGCGCGACACGAACACGGAACCCAAAACGATTTCTTGGCGGGGGTCTTGTTCACCTCAATCTCTTTCCCAACCTTGGATTCTATCTGCTTGCTGCGGAGACAATTGTTTGTTTAGCTCCGCCTGGCCCCTCCTTCCCCCCCCTCCTAGGGCCCGAAGACGGCCCAAGAGGACCCGCAAAACGGCCCAGGAGGTTCCGGTGTCCGCCCAAGAGGGCCCCAAGAGGGTC